ATTGCAGCCAGCTCTCTTAGCCCTTCACTCTCTCAAGCATAAAATTGTTTGTTATAGCTCATGAGTCACAAGGATTTTTAGAGAAAGAGAAAACAACGGGAACAATGGGAGCCCTGAGAATAGGTTTTGGTTGTACAAACTGTCTTGATATCAGCTCGAGATGGCACCCCTGTTGGTGCAGCCCTGGCTGCCCCACCCCACTCCCCTCTGGACCTCCCAGTCCTACATCCCTGCTGTACCATCACATTTTTCCAACCCTTTCCAAAATGAGAAGAGTTGATACTCAGTAGCAAGGTTTTGAAATGTGGTAATGCCAGTAGTGTGTTTGCAAACAGATATCATCTGCCTGTGGGGGAAGAAATCCTGAACTCCCATGTCCATTTGGGGAGCCAGCTTCCTATCTCTTCATCTAGTCTTGTTTCCTCTGGAAATGCTGGATGTTAAAGATTCAATGAACAACAGAACTCAAAATAGGAACAAGAAGCATTTTTGTCCAGCCCTTCTCAGCATTCACAAGACAATGGTTTTAATCTGTTATCCCCATGCTGGCAAGGGAAAACTGACAAAGCCAAACTGCAGTCAAACCTTTCAACAGAGAGGGATTTTCTCCCCATCCAGCCCCATAAAAGCATGTCCAGTCTTGCTTGGCTACATCCATTAAAGCTCTTCTCCAAGCACAGGAGAGTATAAGAATTAATTCCCACTGCACTGGGTCATTATATACCTAATGCAGGAAGAAAAAAAACATGATCCAATGCAATAAGAATTACTTTTTAGAAGGGAAAAGAGTTAAATCCTCGTAAAGAGATAAAAAAAGGCACCTTTCAAAACACGGAAGTAATATCTAAACAAGGCAAGCAGAAAATAATGTAAATTGTATAAATTTGTGGTTTCCCCTTCATCCTGAGCCCAGCCTGCAGCTGCAGTCCCCTCGCCTCCCAAAGGTCCTGAGTGAGGGAGAAAGGCAGCGAGGATGTCCGGTGGGATGAGCAGCACCTGCACAGCACAGCCCAGACTGCACAGGGCTCTTCAGCTGAGAAAGGATGGCAGGAGGGCTGGCAGGCAGGTGTTCTGCACAAAAAAAGCAGGCTTTTGTCCCTCCAAAAGATATTCCAGCAGTGCAGGTGAGCACCGTGGATCTCAAATAGCTCTGGAGGCAATGACTAACATAGCAGCTACGGCAGTGACTCAGAGGCAGCATCCGAGGGAGTCCCTGGGCTGCTGATGGCTGGGAGCTGGCAGATAGAACCAGAGACTATCATTACACACTTGCCTTGTTCTTAGATTCTCTCCTTAGACACTGACAACTGTTCCCTGTCAGGAACAGGAGAGAGGCTTAAAGGCTGCAGTCAAACCAGCGAGGCTCGTGCTCACATCCCCAGCAGCTCTACAGCCGGGGGCAGGATTGCACTAATGTGCCACTAACAGAAGCAGAAATCTGTGCTTCAGGCATGTGTTACTCCATGCTGCAGACTCAGATCTATGGCAGGGATAACCTGAGCGAGCATCCCCTCCTTCCAGCTCCCAGGGTGGGGAGCACGACCAGCAGCTCCTCGCAGGGACCCGGGGAGATGGGTACCAGCCACCACGCTCCATTTGCAGACAAGTTAAGAGACAAACAAGCACTAATGAGATTAATTAAAATCACCAGATTGGTACTGCTATCGCTGCAGATGCAAGAAGCTGTTGGCAGCTGCCCACGTTCACCCTCTGCCTTCAGGCAAGGCAGTGCAGCCCAGGGCACCATCAGCATCAGGTTTTAGCCTTGAAGGCTCTGCTGCCCAGGCAAGGGGCAGGGAAGGACGACTGTCACCTCTGCCAGGGAGAGAGCCAAGACAGAGGCCTGGTGCCTGGGACAGTCAGGAAAGAGCCCGGGCAGAGCCCCGTGACAGGCACAGATAAATATAATCACCCTCCCTGGCAATGGCCCCTTTGCGGATGTTTACAAACAGCTCAGTACTTTTCCATGTTAAGAAGCTTGTTTTTCCAGATGCCTTGTATCCGATGGTTTTTAATGTGTATAGTTAATCCCTTCTCACAGAGTCTTTCATAATAAACATCACCCCCTGACCTGACTAATAACTATGTAACACTATTGCTTTCTATTTTTTTATCCCCTGCCCAGTTGTCAGGAGGAATATGTGTTTCTCTGGGACAGCAGCTCCCAGAGAAATGGGGACATGACTTGGAGAAGGGCAGGACAGGTTGGTGGGTCCACACACACGAATGCCATTTCCCCAGCCCATCCTCCAGCATGGCCTTCCCTCAAGACAGGCCTGCACCCACTGCAGCTCTTGATAAAGCTACAATGTGAAAACCTCGAGTTTGAGTTATCCTCTGAAAATACGTGTCCAGATATTGGGGGTTCAGTATCTGATCATGCATTCATCCTGCTCTCCCCATTATTCTCCTGTGGTTTCTATCTGTCAGTGATGATGAGATCAACATCCATCCTCAGAAGGATGGACAAAAGGAAAGGTGATTCACTATTTCATGTGAAGTAGTTTGATAGTGGTGCAGTTTGTGTTTCACATTTCTCAGTATTGCTCCAACAGGACATGATGCCTATCACAGTCCATGCCTGAAATCCCCCAGTGTTCCTGGGAGGATGTGCCAAACCCCACAGTGTTTGGACCAGACACGTTCATGGGTGCTCACAGGAAGAGCAAAAGTTGGGTCACTCATGGAGAAGTTTAGAACATGCTGTTGGAGAGGAAATTCACACTTGAGTGATCTCCAAACCATCTACCTGCACTGCTGCAGGTCTTGGGGCGATACTCTCTCCACCTCCAACCATCTCCTGACCCCTGAGTGTCAGCTGGTGCTGATTTCCAGCAGACCCAGACACCAGCAAGTGCAGGGGCAATGCACAGTGAGAGGAGCACAGCTGAGATCTGGACTGCTCCATCTGCTTGTGTGCCCACCATGCTTTTGTAAAAGATGGTTTGTCAGCTTGAGCATCCTGGCCAAACTCCAGCTTGAGTAATCACACATCGCCTCCCCAAATTCCCCTAGAGTCTCAGTTCACATAAGCCACAGAGGTTCACTTTCTGTCCCAACTGTTGCTAAGCTGGGCACTGTTCAGCTTCTGCTCCACTTTATCTGTTCCACAGCTACATTTCACTGAGAGCCCTCCTCAGGGGATAATAAAGCAGAGGGAGGAGCCCTCTGCAGGCATCTGATGTCTCCCCAGGTGCCATGGACTAATATCTAGTTTTCACTCCAGCTGTTGTAGAGCAGCCACTTGGATCCAGCTCTTACCACACTTCATCAAGTCCAGAAGCATTTTCACTTGAAACCTTGGTACTTATATTCAGTAGCAGCCAGGTAAAATCCTAGATGGCTGACTAAACTAGCTCATATTAAAGACAGAAATGTGTCTGCACCAGTGAGGCAGAAAGAAGATGTCCCAACTCTTGGAGAAGGATTTTACTGAGCAGCAGCAGGGTGGCACCTATGACACTGTTGTGACATGAGTCACATCCTCTAACATGAGGCATCTCTGTGGCAGGGACTCCTGACACCACCTAAAGGGCTCACCCAAGGCCTTTACGGACACATCAGGCACAGGGATGGGCAGTTATTTCAGAGAGGGGTAACAGTGCCACAGGAGGAGGAGATGCCCAAAATGCTTCACTTTCCAAAGAAGGATTCAGCTCACAGAAATCTCCCCTGCACCCACACTGACAGACACTTCTATAACTAAAAGCCAACATTACCAGTGCTAATATTCAATTTTCCAACAGCCTTGTTAGCAGTCGGTGACATCTGCACCCCTGGTTCTTGCTCTCTGGAGTATTTCCAACTAACTCAGCTGGTAGTAACAGCTTTCCAGTCCCTCTCTTTACCCAAGGCACAAATAACTTCGACTCTTTCAGCCTGTATCCTTTGCCAACACAGATATTTCAATGTAAACCCAACAGAGCAGTAAGAACCAAGTGCAGCTGTAATTCAGGCAGTGACCACAGGAAAACCTCAAAATCTCTACTCAGCTTGATGCAAAAGGAGGATGTTACAGAGGTTTGTGCTCACCAGGCCACAGCGTCAGGAGAGGTGAAATGGGGAGTTCACATGAGCCATGCCAGCTTCATCTGCTTCTAAACTTAGCACTGTTTGACTCCAGACCCCAGTCCAGAGGGAAGGGAATGTGAGAACAATGTCCCTCTGGCTTTGCTCAGGCTGCTGCTGAAATGAAGATGACCACTGCCAAACACTGCGGTTGCTACAACAGCAGCTCATGCCTGGTATAGTTTCCATGGCTAGTGGAAATGTATCCGAGGCACAAAAGGAAAACAGGACACAGCACCACCCCTTCCAACACAGTCCTGGGGACAAACAGCTCCTCCCACCCGAGGCCCAGACCCTGCACTGCAGAGCCAGCAGGTGAACCTGGGCAGTGTCCCCAGAATGGGCAGCACTGCCCACACCAGCGAGGGGAAACCCTGCAGCAAGGTCAGACACTGATGGCCTCAGCTTAACGTGCTGAGCCCCATGACAGGGGGAAACCAACACAGCACAACCTGCAACTCAGCTGTGCTGGCTCTCATTTCACAGCTCTCCGTGCCTCCCACTTGCTCATGGGGAGGAGTCTTCACATCATCCTCCCCTGCCATCAGTGCTGTGACGTGTGCCATTAATGAAAGGGCACCCAGGAGGGCACCCAAACCAGGGAATCTTGGTATGAAGACACCCAATACTATAGGATCTCCCAGTCCCACCAAACTTCTCTATTTGCCTCAATAGGATGGAGTGGGCACAAGGACCCCCCCTCCACCAGAGATGCTCACTGTGTGTCCCCACCAGCTCCCTCCCCAGGGGAGCTGGGGCTGACAGTGCTGTTGGGAGCTGTGGCTCTGCACCACGGGCTCTGGCTTCTCAGGAATGCCTTGTCCTGGCACCCATTGCCCACAGACAGCCATGGGCATGCTGGTTGACACATCTGGGCAAGTGCAGCCCCATGGGAAAACTCTCCTTTGGGAAAAGCCTAAAAGCCCACGTACCTCAGAGGGCTTCTTCTCCTTCTGCCGTGACCAGGGGGATTTGGTATTCGGAATTTTGGAGCATCTGGAGGTGGATGTGGTGTGACCTGCAACAAGGCAACAGAGACAGGTTACCTGGGAAAGAGTCAAAGCTTTTCCTTACCTCACCAGCCCCACAGCTCCAGCCTCAGCCAACACTTGGGGTCAGCACTAAGATGGGATAACACCTTGACGTGACTCTTTTTTGGTGCAGTATCATCACCACTGCTGCCACCCCGAAAGGGAAGAGTAGCTAAAGCCTGAAATGTACTGGGACCATACATTACTGATCTTTATTTCCAACCCATTTGTGTCATTATCACTTAAATGTAAGACTGGATTTGTTATTAATAAATAACAAACTGATCATTGGAATTTGTATATAATAATGATGACAGTTCAGTCTTCTGTACAAGAAGCCCTCCATATTCCAGGATATAAAAATGTTTCTGTGAGGTTGCAACAAAATAACTATCAATAGGCCTATTTAACACTGATTTTATCCTTGGAGGGCTAAATAGGAGGAAACAACACTGTGCACATTAACAACATCCAAACACTACGAAGCCAGGAGCTGAGCTGATTCAGAGCTGTGGTACCACTGCAGTGGGAAACTGTTCTTCCACCAGCTCAGGCAGCTGAGCCCAGGTAAATTTTACATGCCTACTTTTCCTGGCAGGGGAAGAGGCACCAGCTCCACTTGTATTCTTTACTTGCAGTGCACTTTCTTGTACTTCACAAAATTAAGTGAAGGGGCATCACCGGGTCCCAAAATACAGCTTGTTTTTTGAAGCTGCAGGCCAGATATTATTAAAGAGGGTTCCATACAAATGAAATTCTTTATAACACTTCAGAGAATAACAGGACTGTGTAGACAAGCCCAGAGCAGACACCCCTAGGCTGCAGCCCCACGGACACGCTGCTTTACTCAGCAAGCTGCTCCAAGGAGTGCAGCAGCAACAGCTCCACAACTTTCATGGAGAGATCAGCCACTAATTTCCACCTTGCCCCCTCTTCTCAAGCTACAATGTGATGCTACAGCTCTACAGGCTTGGATAACACACCACAACTACCCTTTCTTGGCAGAGGCATGGAAAAGAAGGTCACCACTCTGTTTACAATTATCCTGCAGGAGAGCATTTGTCAAAAGCTTAGATATCACCTGGAGCATAAATATCCAAGCCCCATAGAGATAAGGCCACGTTGTTTAATACCATGATTAAAGATGCCTTACCCCCGAAAGGCAGTGAAGGCAGCGAGCACAGCTCGGCGCCATAAGCCTTTGAGCATCTGGGGATTAGGAGACGGGAAGTTCAGAGCAAGGCTTCCAAAACAAACCCCTTTCTGAGATAGAGATGTTTCATTTTACGAGAAGTGAGGGTGTTGACACTTTCTGTAGGCACAGCTCAGCCCCCAGGCCCCCTGGGCTCCAGCAGGATGGGGGTCCCTGCTGGCAGCCGGACAGCAGGTTCCCGTCGGTGCTCGTGGTGCAAACACCACTCACACTGACAATTTTTTTGGCTGAAGCTGTGGGAACAGCAGCCAAACCCAGCAAGATCAGCCTTTCCATAACCCCCTGTAATCTCTCCATCATCCTGTTAGGAAAAAGCCCAGAAGTTTAGTGTCTTTAGTAAAGTCCCTTTCGTTCTCGGATATCCAGCAGCCAGATCCTGTAAAGTGTGGAGAGAAAATTCCCAGCACGGCCCAGATGAAATTACTGTGACATTTGTAAGAAACCAAGAGCAACTAGTAAGAAACTCCAGAGTCCAGACAAGGGATTAGGCTGGTGCCTTGAGGGTACTGAACACCGAGGCACTGCGGTATGTCTGCAGTGGGTGAAACCCTGGGATAAGTGGGAGAGGAGAGTGCTCCTATTAATAGCCAAAATTCAGCACATTTGCACATGTTTATTGTTGAACACTGTGCCTTCCTGAATGAGGATGAAGTGAGGAAGATGTTGAAAAGCAAGCGTGGGCTTGTAAGTTTTGCTGGCTTGAGCCTTATCCCTTTTCCCACATCACTCTTCAGTTTGCAAGAAGGGAACAATGCGGCTCCAGTTTTACTCTGACTCCAGTAAAAACTTCCCTTTCACCTGGTACAACCCAAATCAAGAGCAAACTAGTCTCAGGCTACACCTCACAGGAAAGGACAACTCATCTACGAAGGGTGCTGCTTCATTAGCAGATCTGCACTCAGCAGCTCTCCTCACACGAGGGAGACACTCATCAGTTAAGAGGAGCCACAGCCAAGTGTTTAAATAAATTGGTATCAGCTTGTTGATGCATTTCTGACAAACCCAGCCCTGTATGCTATTAATTGTGCAGAGACTTCCCAGTAAATGTAGCTTCCTCCAATCTTTGTAAAGTAATTATTCAAGAATTTTGACTGCTGGAGGTGAATCTTGATCAAAGCTTTGAATTAAAAGTCTTACTGTCAGTGGTGTCCGAGTTATCACTGCTGATGGAGTACTTGCGTCGTTTTTCTTCCATCTGTAATAAAAGAAATTGAACATTACACTTCATGTCCAGAAAACTCATCCCAGCACCAAAGCACTGCTATATGAATATCCACACATCTTCTAATCCCAGTACCAGTCAGTCCTTACCCTCAGGACAGACAACTACCCAGAGGCTGAAAAAAAAAATGCAACAAAACAATTCTCACAGATTTTTTAAAAAACTTTAATTGTCTTTCTACCAGCTTTTCCCGATCCCAGTAGTTACAGTGGGTGCATTTGGATCACGCAGTTTTGCATGGAAATTTGTCTGTGCAAGATTTGCATCCAAATGTCTCTTCCTCTGCAAGAGCACTGTCAAGGGAAGAAGCTCCAACAGACTGGAGGATGCCCTGGTGCTGTTGGATGGGAGAAAAGGGACCGTGGTGCTGTTGGATGGGAGAAAAATGTCCTGGGAACCACCTGTCCCAGCTGCAAAGTGAAGAAATGTGAAGACAGAAGAATAGAAACTGCACACTCTCGGTATGTCTGCAGGGGGAAGTACGAGCATCCCAGAGCTGAAGAGAACTCCTGAGTACCACAGCCTGGGGTTTTACCCTCTGACTCATCTTCCCATTCAGCCCCGTCTGCTTCTTTGAAGGCATCGGGAGTATCAGTCACAGGAAGCACCTCCCATCACTGCGCACTGCCCTGCCCGAGCTCCCCCTGGCACCAGAGCTCCCAGGGGTGGGAGAGTGGCTTCTGCACAGCTGCCGTGACTTCTCCATCCTCTCAGAGCCAAAATCACAGCAGCAGGTACCACAGCACTGATGAGGAGACCCGGTTCACGCTCAGCTGATTTGCTTTGAGACTTTGAACAAGCCACAGGAGCGCTTGGAATCATCAGGTTCTCCTGAACCCGACCCTTGGGAACCAAGCACTTGGAATTCAAAGTAGGTGCTTCAGGAAAAGAAAGAAGAAAGGTATTTTAACTTTTGAAAATCCCAATTTTACCAATGTGGCTGGCTGATCAACATGGCCCCCAATACAGGGCTTGGGCAGCTCTGGATAGAAAAGGCTGCCTGTGGACCAGACAGCTATGCAACAGTCTGTAAGCCAAAACACATCCACAGAAAACAGTCTTAACCTCATTGAAATCTTCCCAGTACTTTCTCAGATATTTTCGAAGAATCTGAATGTGTTCATATGTCATACTCACTATTGCTTCCACAAATGGTAAGTGGGAATGATAATGAAACACTTGGTTTGTGTGGTTTGGTTGCAGCAGGTACAAGCAGCACACAGACTGGGATAGCAAGCTAGAGCATGACATTTTCCCCCAGACATCAGGAAATGTTCCACATAAGCATATAAAAACCTTGTAACAGCTGTGTTTTACAATATATGTGCTATCACAGCATTATAAAGGAAAATACTACAAAATATCCTAAACATTTTAACTATCAGTGTTGTGGTAAGGCATTGCCCTGTCAAAATGTGACTTAAAACTCCCTAAGAATTTGGCAATATCAGTACTTTTCCCCTGGTGATTGAAGGGGAAACAGATGTTATTAAAACAGCCTTGTTCCAAATAGCCATTAGATTTTGCTTGGGGGAAATGAAATTGAAGATAGCTCTAACTGCAAGTTACTTACTTTTAGTGAAAATCCTACCTCAATCTTTTAAACTGGTTCCTACTGGTCTGAAGTGACAAACAGACATTTGGAGCACAAAGATAGAGCAATACTTTTATTGATTCTGGAGCTCCTAATCACAGAGATTAAATAAGCCAAAGCCAAGAAGAGGGAAAAAAACTACCTGAGGTGAAGCAAAGGAATGCTACTGATAGCCAGGGAGATTTCCCAGGTTTCTCATCTTTGCTTTTACAGCAAGGCAGCATCACTGACATCACTTTCCTTCCAAGGCAGGGAAAAAGGTTTGCAACCAATGCTCAGCACAGGTAGCAGGAGGCTGGCACTGGTTTTGGCTGATGTGTATGAGGAGATGCACTGATCATCCCTCTCACTGAACTTGGTCCCTGCATCCTGCTGCTGCCCTACAGCTGCCTACCGAATTAACACACTCACTATGTAACAAGATGGATTGATGTTCACATACAGAAGTGGTTCACATTGCAGGTAAAAATAGCGTCTGTACTTCAGTAAATCATTTTGCCACTGTTTGGCAGGATGCAAGACAGCATCCTCCAAACCAAACTGCATTAAATTTGTGAATGGAATTCTGGCTTGAGCAAAGTACGGACATCTCTGAACAGCAGCACTGAAAGGCTGGGCAGGGGATAACACACAAGGAACTGTGTGCCTGAAAGAAGCAAAAGTTTTGGCCAAAACCAGGTCATTCCAGAAAATTGTTACTTTCCAAGCCCTGCTAAGATCCTGTTTTCTGAGGGACTCATCTTGAGCAGCCGAACAGTAGTAAACCGCATGGCACTAAAGAGAGGAATTTACTGTAGAAGGGTAATTGGGCCATTTCCCCATCTGCATCCCAGAGTTATAAAGTCTGATGGTGGCTGAGCTCCTACCACCCTTTTGGCACCCGCGGGGAGGTGGCTGGGGGGTGGGGAGGACTCACTGCCCACATCCCTCCCAGGGCTGGAGCTCTCAGGAGCAATTCAGCTGGTGAACTACTGAGCAAATTAAGTCACCCACAAAATATCGTCTCTGCTCCAAAATTAATCTTTTGTTTACATTAGAAGTTAATTTCACCTTTAACTGACCCATTTCCCACATGGCATCATTAATAAAGTAATAAACAAATACCAAAAAAATTTGTAATACTTTGAAAAGGTCACTGTTAGGTCAAACTTGGCCCAAAATCTAGTTTTTACAGAGCCAGAAACCAAGTGAAAGGTTTCTATGTAGGCTTGCTTAAAAAATTCAAACAGAAACAGATGTGGGTTTCTTTTATAAACAAATGAACATCCCCCTGAAGTGTCTGCAACTCAAATCCACAGGCATAGCCCTGGTTAATGCCTGGAATCCAAAAACTGAACTGCTTGCAAACCAACACATGTTTAGCATTGCCTTTGTTCAAAGCTGAGGAAGGCAGATAGAAGATGATGGCCCTTCATCAGCCTAAACAAATGTAAATCTATGTCCTTGGACAAATTAGCACCACGATTGGTGTTAAAATGGAGATGATGGCCTGAGGCTGGCTGGTCCTGCCTCACAGCAGGGGAAGGTTGGAGAGGATCTCTTGGGAATGCAATTTTGCCCAGTCCATGCAACCTGGGAGAGGTGAAGGCAACTACTGCTGGCACACAGAGATGCCTGTGCCCACATCCTGAGCTCAACAGGGCACACTGCCAGGGACAGGCACCCGCTCCCATCCACACTAAACCGAAATGCCTCATCCAGCCTTCAGCTAGCACAGAAATCTTTCTCTGCAGACCCCTCCTCCACCAACCCTGTGCTCTGGAGAACCCCCTGATGTTTCCCAGCTCCCTGCAAACTCTTCTGCACACCAACTCCACGTGCGATATGGAGATTTTTAGTGGCATCCCAGCACCCTATGCAGAGGCTGTTTCCACTGCTTCCAAGAACGAACCATTCTGAACTGTGGCAAGCAAACACAGAAATTCATACATGCCTGTGCTCCTCATTTCCACAGGGAACAGGCATCAGAAACCTGCATAAGTTGCAGAAAAAAAAAAAAAAAGATAAGTATTTGGTCATCACCTCTTCCCAGCCTCCCCGCAGGTTGAGGGATGCGCCGCGCTCGGTCCCCGCGCCGTCACCTCTGACGCTGTGAGCAACACCGGCTGAATGATGTGCTCTGTTTGTGAGCTGCAATGAGACTGCAGAAAAACCACTTCCCTGTTTGTTCTTCCAGCCCAGAAATAGGAACACAAACAGAACATAGTGCCCCCAGCGGCACGCACACGGCTCCGGCCACCGACCCCGCCGGGGACCCCGTCCCGGAGCCGCGCCGGCACCTGCGCCCGCCGCCGCCACCGAGCCGGGGCTGCTCCCGGCGCTCCCCTCTGCCTCCAGCGTGCTCTTCCCTCTGTCTAGGAACACCGGCCAGTTGTTAGAAAGTGTAATAAAAAGGGTGGAGGGCTGGAACAGCCCCGTCAGTACACCGTGGGAGGGCTGTCCTCGTCCCATTGCCTTTTCCCAAGAACAAATTCTGGAGCCAAGCGCTGCTACAGGAGGCTCTGAGAGAGCAGCAGCATCCCCCAAATTGGCACAGCCCCAACTTCATAGTAACAGGACAAACTTTTGGACCAAAGGATGCACAGCAGCGGGGCCAACAAGACCTACAGCAAATCGTGGTGCTCAGCCCCTACATCTGGGAGAAGTTTTTCTGACCTCGCTGGTAAACCTGCAAAGCATAAATGCTAAAGAGCAGGATCCTGGTACCTAGAACAACCATTTTTTGGGCAGCAGGAGCCTGCCCCTGCCTGCCGGGGCTCGTCTGTCCCTCGCCTCCTCTACAGGCTGCTGCCAGCCCCAGCTTTCCAGCAAAAGCTCAGGTGCCCAGGTGAGGAGCAAGCCATCCCTCCTCTCCTCCACACCAACGCTGCTGTCTTGGCTCCCCGGGGCAAAATTTAATCTCATTACAATTTAAAACAAAACAAGCCCTCTCTTACTTCCTGTGCTTTGCCTTTCTCCACACCTACGAGGGGCTTTTTTTCTTGACTACTCACATTTATAACTTTACTTGTCTCTCCTAACTCGTTACCTTATAATTATCTACTTTTTCTTTAGCGAGCCCAGACAGAGCACAGGTAATCAGAAAGGTTACTGAGGGCACTGGGGCCACCCCTGCCTTCCTGGGGGAAGGTGCAGGCAGGGACACAGGGCATGAGAAGGGACACCAGGCACAGCTCCACACCCACAGCCAGATAGATGCCCCATCCTGCTCAGGTCTCCTGAGTATCAACTCAGAGGAAATCAACAGGAGCTACAGACACTCCAGTCTTTGTGAAAGATGAAAACCCACAGAAAGGTAAAAACTAGACCTGGTCTGAAGGACCACCCACCCACCCACTTTCAGAACTTGGGTGTCAAACACTATCGGCAGCCATCAATAGTTTAAAGGAATTGCATCTCCTTGCCCACAGACCCCCTAACATGTACCCTTCATCCTTTGCTCCAAGCCTACATTTTTGAACATCTGCTCAATTTTCTTAAGAAAAACAAATTTAACCTTCGATTTAACCTTTCTGCAAGCTATTTTTACTCCTATCTCAAGCTTATTTTAACCCCAGTAGCCAATAAATGCTTAAAGGTCAAACACCATTCCTAAAAGCTGGGCTCCTTAGTCCCGAGAAGGCTGAGATCAGATAATTGGGGTTTTTTTCCCCCAAGCAAAACCTCCTCTTGGAACTGTCCAAGCGGTCGGTCGGAAGATCCTGGCTTCAGCCCTTCAAAATAATTTTCACTGTGGGGGCTGAGAAAGGCACTGAAAATTTTCCCTGTAAATGCCATGCCATCCTTCTCTTCCCACTCGAAAAGCGCTCAAAATGCATAGGTATGGAGAATTTTATTTTCCCCTAATTGCGATCGAGGTTGACAATCCAGCAGCCTCCCGCCTTTCCAGCGCTTCCCAACTTGCAGCTCGCTGCTCCCACCCCGGGCGCGGGGCAGCCGGGGGGCGCTCCCAGCCCCGCACCCGACCGGGAGCGGCTCGGCAGGTGGGGAAGGGGCAGGAGCGCGGCGGGGGCGCCGCTTCCCCGAAGGATGCAGGGGAGAGCCAGGGGAGGGGGCAGGTGGCCGGGGAGAGAAGGAGGGGCGGCCCGGGGGGACAGCGGCGCGGGGGGACGCGGGATGTCCCCGAGCGCGGGTGATGCCGCGGGGGGAGCGGCGGTGCCTCCGGGCTCGGCAGCCCCGGGACGCAGCGGCGAGGGAAGGCGGCGGGGAAAGCCCCGCGGTGGGGAGGGAAGGGGGGAGGAAGGGGAGGGCAGGCGGGAGCCGGCAGCCGCCACGCCCCCGGGCACCGCCATCCCGGCCCCGCGCAGCGCTCCGCGCCCGCGGCCCCTCCGCCGCCGAGCGCGCCGCCCGGCCCCGCGCTGCCGCCCGCCGAGCCCCCGCCGCCCGCCCGAGCGCCGCGGGGCGTCCCCTCCCCTCCCGGCGGGCAGGGCAGGGCGCGGGGCCGCTGCCGCAGTCATTAATTCGGGGAATAAAGGGGCGAAGCGGCGAACCGAGCCTTGAAAAGTTCTTGTTTACGTCCCCGCCGCCTCCCTCCCGCACTTCCAAAGCAGAGTGACCACCGTGCGCCATCCGCCCCGGGAATGCTGCACATCCCCCGCCCGGCAGCCGGGGGAGGGAGAGGAAAAAAATAAATAAAAAAAATT